TTTTTAATATATATTTATAGATTTATTATTAACCGCAAGTAACGGGGATCTCCTACAGTCACCGCTCCAGAGGACACGGAGCTACACAGTGAATTGCACCAACAAGCAAAACCTCCCAAAACCAAAACCCAGTGGTTTTCTGGCCACTGGGAATTTCTCGACCCATTCTGCCATTGCAGGCACTGCTGCGTAACGGCGCAGACAAAGCCCTTCATCCATGGGAAACGATGTAACCACAATTAGGGGATTTTAGTTAATGGGTTTCTCAATTCAATTTTGCCGCCTCCACCTTGCACGCAGTATCGGAGATTAAAACAGAAACACGGACCCACAGTTTTAGTACTTGAAAATTTTATTTTCTCAAATGAGCACCAACACATATTGTAAATATGACAAACAATACGCCTCCCTCTAATACTGAAGAACTATATACAATGTACAAATACATGAAAAGGTGAAAACCAAGTATTTGAAAACAAACAATTGCATTTATTACTGAAGCAAATGACCTGAAAGAAAATGCCAAAAAAATAAAATTAAAATAAGATCAAAGAAATAAAAGTATACACAATTTGTAAACACAAGAGCATCAACAGACAGGCTGGTATCGGAAATATCGTCCTTTAGTTTTGTCAGTGGGGAAAGCATTCCCATTTCCTTATGAAAAACCAACCAAAGGATACATACAGTTTGTAACTACGAGAATAGCTTATTTGTGGTTGTACCTTACACAATGCCATTCTGCTTGCATTTAAATATGTTGATTTATTTATTTCTTTTTCTGAATTCAAGACGATTTTGTTTCCCCTCTTCTGCTTATTTCAAATAGGATTCTGCCAAATCTACGCCTACCGTAATTGTTTCTGAGCACGGGGTTTCTGAGGCCTCTCACCTGGGAGAAGAGCTCCTTCCCACTGAGCTGAGCTCTGCTCCTCGCCCTCCGCTCACCCAACCGGTGCCTGGGTGTCCCCTCCTCATCCAGGAACTGGCTTGCACAGCAACGCGACGCTCCTCCCAAAACAAGGAAGTGCAGTGAAATGCATGATTAACACACTCTCACAGACCAGTCAGAAAAATGCACAGAGAGAAAATCCTCCCTTGATCATCAGAGGAACAACAGATTTCCTTCATAAGGTTTGTTTTTTTCGGTAGAGTTTTACATCGTGTGCACCAAAACCAGAGAGTTCAAGAGCGTGCAACAGGTTTTCAGCACTGAAAACAGCTCCTCCTCAGCAAAACAGAGTCCAGTGGTTTGTGCTGTTGGTCCACTTTGGGATACACGAGAGACCCAATGAATCAAAAACGAAGAAGGGGGAGAAGGGGAGAAGTTAAAGACAGCAGGGAAAACAAACAAAAAAAGAACTTTACTGCCAGTAAACTTATACTCTAATTTGTTATGTAGCAGCCTGGCTTAAAAACAAAAACACACCAACAAAAAAAACAACCAAAAGAAAACCAGGATCCATGTCCAAAGCCTTACGCTTTAGTTTAAAAACGACGACTAATTACAAGTTTCCATCCTCCATCCCTGCTGCCCCCAAGCAACTGGCAGCAGTGACTGGAGGTCACAGCTTCTGTTCAACCCTGTTTTCTGCTCTCAGATCTACTCCACTCCAGCCAATACTGGTGCAAGAGACCATTTCAGGCCCGGACCCTACAAACCACATCTCCTCAGGAAAGTCGTGCCCAGCCGCAGCCCCACTGCATTTCGTGCGACCTCCAGCACCGCCTGTAGTTCGTGACACCGCAGCCCTCCCCGAGCGCCCAGAGCCGCATCCTGTCCCACACATCAGCACCCGGACCCGGGCTGCCCAAACCAGCCACCACCTGCGCTGGAGACCAACTCTGCCAGGTGGGAGCAGGAGGACTCCCCTGTGCTGCCACGTCCAGAGGCAAAACGGGTCGACTTCTGAGGACAACAAATACTATGGTTTTTGTTTCCCTTTAAACATATTTTCTAACAAATACAGAAGGAAACGGTAACATTTATAAACAACAAAAAAAGTGCTCTCAGGGAGGGGCTCTGAGAAAACAGCACCAAATATATTATTTTTTTTAAAAATTAAATATTATTTACAAAAGTATATTTCACAAGATAATGTCTTTTCTTTTTCTGCTTTGTATATATTATCATCTGAATATTTAATACAGGGATCAGGATTTCACACCAGATAACCCACCAGAGCAAAACAATTTAAAACCTACTCGAGTCTGAGCTTTGGGGTAGACGGGGGTGATGCAAACTCAGGGGTGCGTGCAGCTTGCCAGGGACAAGGCTGCCACAGCAAAAAACCCCAAAACTCACTGCTGTTGGTGTTTTCTCGATGTCACCCATGGGAAGCAGCACCACAGGCACTCGGTGGCACAGTTTCCATGGGCCACATTTCCAGCTCGGAAACAAGGGTCCCACCTTGCTCACCCAGTAACGAACTGGGCCCAGTCCAAACTCAGACGAGCAGAGGGATGCAGAGAGGGAGGTTCTTTGGTTATGCTCTGAGTATTTCACCCTACGAGCCATCAGTTCTGCCTACATTGATCATGGTAGCCATTGGCATGCAGATCTGATCGCCAGCTCCCAGCACTGTCGTGTGTCTTTATACAGCAAGTCACAGGTGAGTTAGCAGCGGAACAAGAAGTATTTCATCTTTAATGGACACACGGCAGAGAACAAGCGCCAATGAGCCTCACAAGCCCAGTTTTCTTTATCTCCCTATACAGTGCATTAAAGTGACTCAACAGATAAGTCTCTGGGTATTGGGGATGTTCACAGGCACACGTGTTTTGCTCATATCAGGGCTTAAGGCCAGATTCTCCAGCAAGTGTAAATCTGTGGACACTGATGGGACAAAACCAATTAAAACCTCATTAAGACCGTGCCGCATTCAAGCTTAGACTGGTTGCCATTAAAAGCGTAACCCCTGTAAACAGCTAAAAACAGCCCTGTCTGATGGATCATCGTCCTTTCTTGTCTTACATACATGGATAACAACACGTACACCTGGTAGCTCTCTGCAGTACCCATTCTTGTTTCTCAGAGCAGTCTCTAGACAGGCCTACCTTTTATATCGCTTTTCTATAGGTGATCACTCAAAACACCAACATAAAACCATGAGCCCCGGGGTGCTCTTTTTCTCAAGCTCATATTAATGATTTGGGGTTGTCCCTTACTTCTCCCAGCTCCAACCAGAGCCCTTTAAAGGTTTCGTATCTAGGGAGACTGAAGAGCTCTTCAGAGAACACAAATGGCTTCCCACTAGCCAGAACTCAATCAATTGTCATGGATCACCAACCAGAGGACAGGAAAATGGGACCAGGCCAGGGCCAAAGTCAACAAGATAGCAGCTACTGCAGAATTTCTGATTTCTCCTAGATTTTTATCACTGAAGGGAACGTGGATGATGGCAGCAGAGATGATCAGAAACAGGAGCCGCAGCAACGGTTACAAAGCCACAGCAGAAGGGGTAAAGGCTGAAGCCACCTCCTAAAGGCTCAGCCCCAAACTGAGCCACGTCCATCACTGCAGGAGCCACGGCCAGCCCCTGCCTTGCTTCTCTCTACAAGGTTTAAAGAACTGGTGGGTCAAGAGGAAAAACAGCCTCTGCATAGGTAGGCCATCGGGTTTGGGTTTCAGCACAACGACCCACCACGTAAGGTCCACCCTGGTCCATAAGCAGCATCTCTGCTCACATCCCTTCACTGAACAGCAAATCCCTTTCTCACCACCGGCCCTGTGCTCTGATCCCCGCAGCTGAGAGCATCCTGGGGCGGGGGCAAGCGACAACGGTCACAGCCCCAAAGCTCCTGTTTCATGAGGAGGTACAAACCCCTGCACAATACTCTTTCCTTCTGGATTAAGAAATATTTCCCCCAATGGATTATTAACCTACTGGAAAAAATTCCAGCAACAAAAAGAAAATGCACTCAGAGAGATAAAACTGATTCGGTTCAATAGTCTTGAGTTATGCACCAGATACTGGCTGGACTGTCGCAGAGCAAACTTTGTGTTGTCACTGATGTCTAACACAGCTCCCCTCTTACACACAATGCCCCTTCCCCACCGCCCACCTCGGGAAGGTCCACACTAATTAAAATGCAAACATTAAAATGGGAAGGACTTGTCCCTTACAGTTATGATGCCCGCATCTACCCCTCCCCTTTAAACTCCAAGGCATAGACAATTTCAGGGGTAGAGGGAAGATACTCAGTTTCTTTTTTTCTTTCCCATCCCCCTGCGCCTGCAATAGGCTTCTGGGAGTGGGAAAAGGGGGCAGGTTTTGGGGAGGATACCTCATGGCTTGAAATATCCACCTGTGCAATACTGCTACCACCGCCAGGCTCCTCCGCTCCCTCCTCTCCCCACTCTCGCATCGTTTCCCTGCCAGGCTCCAAGAGCGGAGCTGATGGCTGGGGCCTGGGGTTTACAAAACTGATTCTGAAACAGCATCTTCCTGTTTGCGCTTGTGAGGGATTGGTAAAAGACCCCCAGGGATGCTCAGCGGAGGCCAGAAAATCAAGGGGTACCCTAAGTTGCTAGATTTGTCCCCGTCCTCCTCTACATAATTTCCTCTTTCTTGCCTAGCAAATGCCATTTTTTTTTACCTCTGTCACATCTTCTAAGCTGCAGCTCCAGACCCACTGTGCCTAAGTGCTTTACTCCTTCTCTCTAAAGGGCTCAAGAGTCAGGATTTGGTTTCTCCAGCTGTGAGGATGCTCCCACAGCTGTGCTCTGTGGGGATGTTTGGCTTACCTACCCTGAAACAGCGAGAAAAAGAAGAGGCAGGGAATCCCTCCAGCCTTCAGGCCCTCCCCCCCAGGCAACGAGTTCACAAATGGCAAACAAAACACAGATTTGCAACTAGCTCGTGGGGGAAACCTGTTATGAATTATGCTCAGCCAGATTAGGCTGAAGCTCCACCGATGGAGCAGCAGTTTTATGATTCAGCGAGAACGCAGCCGTGAGGTATTTTTCTGTCCATTTAGACAAGTAGATAGTTTCAAGCCTTGGTTAACCAGGACTTAAAGGAGAAGTACGGTTTCGACTTCTGATGACTTCCCTTTGGGCCCGCTCCCCACCCCCTATCACCTTCTCCTGCCCAAAACTCAGGTCTTCCTCCCGCACCGAGACCTTCCGATAAAATGCCACCACAGAGCCAACTTCAGTTTGAACTCAAACATTCGTCACCACGGAACGGCTGTCGGGCGTTCGGTGCATTCTCTTAGCCAACGCCAGGACAGACAGAGAAGCAGCCAGGGTCAACTCACAAACAGATACAAAGCAAAGAGACAGAGAGACAGAAATTTAGAGGCCAGTCACCAATAAAGATGGAGAAGGGTGTGAAGATGCTCCCAAATTGCAGAGCCTCTAAATGCATGGAACCAAGCGTTCAGTCACTCTCTCACTCTTGGATATAATGTTCGGTTGGATGGCATTCTCTTACACGCTGGTAGGGCCAGGCTCTTTCCATTCAATCCCAGCCGTTATCCTTGATCATGTGAGCTAGTTCAATGATGTATTTGCCTTCTTTATACTTCTGGCTGCTTTCAAAAGCGTGTTCCTAAAGAAAAAAACAAACAAAAATGGAGAAAGAATGAGATCAAGATGGTATTTGGAGGTAAACTCCCAGTTATAGCTCAGATCCGGGAATACTGGTAGAAGTCTTAGCCATGTCTACAGTGTGAAACAAACTGCAGGTTTCCTGTCGGCTTTCAGAAAAAATGATATTGGAAGAATCTTAAATCCTGCTTTTAGCTGTCTTTACAGGACAAAAAGAACAAGGGACACCACATAAACGTGCAGCCTCCTTAGGCCAACGGCAACAGCTCCTTGAACTACGCTTTAGGAATCATCAGTGGTAAAATCCACCTGTCTCTAGGGTGGTCTGAGACTTCACTGATGTCTGTTAAGAACGCAGAGGTTTTCTGATGACGCGTGCTGTAAAAGCACTGCCATCGGGAACAAGGCGGATTATGGCAAAATTCATGTGGCAATGGAGCCGATGGACACTGAGGGATGGGAAGGACCCACTCTGCGCACACGTCCTTGCAGCCACAGAAACACGCAGTGCTCCAGCACTGCCGACGGGAACGTCAGGAAATCATGGGGTCCCTCAAGAGCTGTGCCGTCTGCATGCATGTAGTGCATCTGAAATAATGGCATTCTATTGCTGGGGAGGCTTGGGCTTACTGCTCTGTTTACGAAACTCTGTCTTTTGTTTCACAATAAACTCAATTTATGTACTTAGTGTCCTTCTCCATTTGTGAGATCCATGCTGTGCTTCTGCATGAATTCCTACTGCATCAATTTTTGATGCTTTACTTTTTATACGCTTTCAACTGATTCATTAAATAATATTTCTGTCCAGAGGCCACAGATATGATATAGGTTTCAAATGGTCAAAATGTTTTGACAAACAAGTACGCTGTGTGCCTCCTGCAGCAGAAATTAGGATGTAGTGTAAGCCTTTATTTGAAGGTAATCGAATTTATGAAGAGCAAGAGACAGCAAACAGATAAACTCATGTTCAACAGGGGAAGGACACAGGGTTAACAATACATGGATCATCCTATTATTCTGATATTGTCTGGGAAAAAAGACAGTATGAACCACAAGGCTGGCTGAAGTCATCCTCATTTATGTTAAGCATCACTAAGGGATGCCCACCAAAACCATGCCCATATATTCTTAATTAAAAAATTCATTAGCCACAACGAGCTCCTGCTCTGAATGGATGCAATAAGCACAAGACAGGAGAGAAAATGTAAATGCGGGAAGGAAAAAAGACGTGGCTACAAGACCAGAACCCGCATTTCTGGTTCCGAAGTTCATGGCCTTTCCACGAAACCACGTCACCTTCCAAAAGGGCTGGAGCAAAGACATCCAGGGCAAAAACAAATGATACTGATACTCACATATTTCCAACCCAGTGTGGTTTTGCAGTTTTCACAGTAAATATCTGCAACCGCATGTAATCCTGTTAATAACACCCGCTCCTCTGCAGGGCCACAACCCACATTAACTCTGGGGAAAAAGGAGAGATGCTCCCTATTAGCACGTCTTTGCACACCAAGGCGCCACAACGAAGCCGACAGCGATTTTATTGCAGTAGTTGAAAACAAAAGCAGGAGGTTCAGGATACTGAGTACCACAGCTGTGCCCTGAACAAAGACCTCTTGCAGTTCCCCGACAGAATGAAAAGGTAAAACAGATTTCTTTTTCAACTAAAAATTCTATAGAGCTCTGAACAGAAGATTAATAACATTCTAGCAAATTGCACTAATTATGCATTTGAGAAAGGTTTTCATTTTCAAATTGATAAAATGGTACTTTTACTTTCCCAAATGGAAACTTGAAAAATGTAAATGAAATCACCAGTTCTGCTGAAAGGCATCCCAGCACTGATCTCACCAAAACTATTTTCAGTTATTGGGAAAATTGCACTTATTTTTTATGCTAACCCTAAAAAAAACGTATTTAGATACTATTTATTCTCTGTATTTACAAAACTCTGACTCTTTGGCCTAACGACATTCTCTGAGAAGAGAATGACTCATCTGTTAGCTCTTATTTCTCAATCTGATGATGAAAAAAACCACCTTTTCCTAGCTACTTATCTGAAACCTCAACAGAAAATCAAATAGGAATCAGTGCTATTTCCTGCCTCTTTCTCCAAGCATTTTCAGCAAGCTCCCAAGTCTCGAGCAGAGGTTTTCTAAAGGAAGACAGACAGTCTTTTTGTTTTCTTCTTCACGAGGGTTTTCTTAAACCTATCCTAGGAGATGCAGAGGTGACACATACGAAGGAATACTCACACTGAATTGAAGAGGTATGCTCGTCCTTGGCTTCCTTGGAAGGACTGAAAGGCAAAAAAAGCAGAATTCAGTTGACTGGTTGATAGAAATCAGGCTAAATCAGGACTCGCCCTCAACGACTGCTTTAATGGTGGTTATAGCAGCTGTAAGCCAGGGCCAGAGGAAGGGACGTCACTGCAGCGCTCGAGATGGACTGAGCACAAAGTCAAATGTCAACTGAGCCCCGCTGCAGAGGGCTTGTCCTGCAGACAGGAAGGGGGCAGCTCCCTCCAGTTCTAATTCCTGCCCATTTCACTGGGAGCCCACTGGGAGCTTCACCTGAAATCACTGCGTTTCCAGTGCTGTACAGGCCCAATGTACTTTTCAAGAGTTAAGCTGTTTTCTCTCTCATATCCCAGCAAAGTCCATTTCCACCCTGTCAGTTCTGTTGATGAATTTCTCACTGCTGCCTCGACTTTACCAAACACAGCCTTGCTGTCAAATATCGATTTGACTCTCTTTTCTAAAAACAAGGTGCTCACAGAGGCTTCCCGTTGCACTACCCATTTTGAAACACTGCTGCTGCAAGCGACGGCATGTGAACAGATGGATGCTGAACAAAACAGAGGTTGGGATCTATTTGTGCAACGTGCTTTGCACACAAGCACAACCTCTCGTAATTTTACAAAAGACCTTAACCTTGCTGAGGTGTCTGCAAGCCTTCATATTCCCACTAATGCCAGAGAGATCTTCAGGACCAGATCTAAACGTACAACAAGATACAACTGAGTAGAGATGAACGTGGACAAGACAGAACCACATGGCAGCAAAACCACACCAGATAATCCATCACCAGTCATGGCACATCCTCTCTGTCCTGTTTTTCCTCAGGATCTTAGAGCATCACCACAAAAAGGTGATGCTTCGAAGAGAGCGGGGCAATGCCGGCCCTGCAGGACACTGGGACATGTCCAAGAGCCAGCAGGCTCCATTCGTGTCGTCTGTAACATCGCCCTGTGCCAGTGCCTTGCTGACAAGAGCTGGCTCACATACAGCAAGTGCTACCTGCATTTTTAATGCCCTTTGACAAGCACACACTAAATTAAACATTTAGTGCCTATAAGGAAGGGCACGGTTGCTCTCAGCACACAAGTTACCTTATGAGGTACCTCAGGGAATGCACGCACTGAGGGGCAAGGGACCAGGAAAGTCAAAGAGCAGCTTTTCTGGACCATTTAAACCTTTGCCTTGCACTGTATCAGGAACCTCAGAATATTTAACAGTTTTCTTAAAACCTCAGCTTCTATAGATGGGTGATGACTTCAAACTAAATACCCTTAAAAGGTGGGGAAACAGAGTTTTGAGAGAAAAGAGAAACAGATAAGGTTTTACCTCCCCATCCCGCTAACACTGCTCATTTATTTAGTCAGGAGCAGCCCAACCCTGGGGCAGCACAAACGTGCTCTCCCCACACCACACAAAGCAATCTTTGGGGGGTCCCTGCCCTTCCATCAGTGCCACCCTAGGGACATACCCCTATGCCTGCCCAACAGAGGAGCAAAGTCACAGCCATGCCTGAGAACCACTGAGCCCATGGATGAGTCTGGACCCCATTTCTTACATCCACACACCTCTGCACTTATCGGCTAACCCCCTTCCCCTCTGCACTGGGGAGGCCTCTGCGTGTTTCCAGCCAATGGTCCCAATTCCCGGAGCTGGGGTACCAACCCCTGAGCTCCAGTGAGTATTTCTTGGGTGCTGCCCAGTGAAACAGCAAGCAGCTCTGTAACAGCCTGGAAGAGCTCTCTCCATCACCAGCCCTGCTTGTGGGGAAGGCAGAGATGGGAAATTCACTGACCAGCAGGAGGGAACAAAACACAATAAAGGCGTGATTTAAAACCACCCTGACAGGAGAACAAGTACAGTTTGTCACGGTGTTTACCCTGGCGACCTTGATGTCAAGGTGCTCTTTAGAAGTGGGAAGGGCCCGCTGGAAGATCCTAAATTGCATGAACGTATGCCCAAGGCTCCTCACCATGGAGCAGGGGCACCTCTGTGGACGCACAGCGCTGCAGAGCATGCAGGCAGGGACACAAACCCAGCCATAGGAGCTGCCTGGGAGGTCTGGGTGGCAGCAAGGGCTCTGCCAACTACAAACTCACCGCCTGGCAAAAGAAAATGACTCAGTCCTGGAGAAATAACCGTGCTTCAGAGGAGGCTGAAGCCCAGTATTAGTTGCCACCCAGGGCACTGAAGAGCCACTCCGGATTCAGAGAGGACGCCCGAGGCACTTGGATATCTCTTTCAGTCAGACAAAAGCAGTGCCCTGAGGAATGCCACTTTTCTTAGGCAGGAATTAAATAGGACACATGGCTCAAGTATGTTTGTGTAATAGCATTTATTAGAGAAGCTTCTTTTAATGCTTCTGCAGTGCTCAAGTTCTTTATTACTGTTGTTGTCGGCTGGCTGATACCCCAGATGCCAACTAGGTCTGGCATGGCTGCTACAAAACACACACTGCTTTGTCTCAGTGTCCTGTGTGGTAAAGGAGGAACCGACACAAAGCTGATGCCCTCCCAGGCCAGAAAGAAGAGTCCAAGCCAGACCCAAAAATGCTCTGTCTCTCCACGGCAAAGAGCAGGGCACTGACTGTCCACGCTGCAGAAGAGGGACACCAGCCTGGAAGGATTAACTGTAGATGGGTACAGGGATGAAACAGGAGGTCCTGCAGCACCATCTGTGCCATCAAAGCAAAATGAAAGCAGATGAAGCTCGCTAACCATTCAGTCTTTCCCAATAAATACTTTTCCATAAACACCAAAGTGACTAAGTTTGCCAATAACAACAACCATAGGAGCAAAGTTTTTATTGGTACAGAAATAGGATTTTCCATTACTGCTGTGCAAAGGTCTGTCTTTAATAAACAACAAAACCAAACCCATCGGCTTTGTGTTCAGCGCTCACTGGACACTATTCCAGCCTGCTCCCAGGGGACAGGAGCATCTTTCAGAGGTGCCTTTCCTTCCAGCTCAAGCCAGCACTTTAGGGCAGCTAAGGGCAGTCACTGCAGGAAAAAAAATCACATTCATGATCTCCTGCCCAAGAGGAACTTTTAAACACACCACTTCTCGGCTTTCAGTGCTGCTGCCTGTCTTCATACTCGCCCTCCAGCCAGCTAAGGATTTGGCAAATCATACAAAAAGAAGTGGAAAAAGGTCTGGCAACCATGTCAGGTTCGCCCATGCCTTTGCTCTCTGCAGGACTAAGCCGACTGTGTCATTATAAAGGTAGCACAGGCAGGTTTTATCTGGGTGTTGTAACCTCAGCGTTTTCTGGAGCTCTTCCTTCTCTTCTGGCACTCTAGCAAAATTGGCACATCCTGTAAAGGGCATTACGAAATCAGAAGAAACAGATCTATTTATACACAAACAGATGTGCTTTGCTGTCGGTTGTGTTTGGTTTGTTTGGTTTTTTTTTTAAGAAACACACAAAGTGTTTTCCACAACACCCGCAGTTTTCCCTGAGCAGTGACAGTCAGCAGCAAGACCTACTTTCTATGCTATGCATTTTCTCTATGTAGATTTTCTTGATATACATTCAAAGGTGTATCTCACACGCATGCTTTGAAATCCCAGATTTTGTATTCTCTAAAACAACAGCTCCTGGCATCGCTTTCCAGCTGAAAGAAATGGAAAGGATTTTGTTGTTGTGGTTCCCCACTGATAGCCCAAGCACATATTTTTCTCTGCACTGCTAACGCTCAGTGTCTGGCTTGGCAGCGCATCTGTATATGCCAGCAACAAAATTCCCTCCCCATCCTGCTTGAGCCCTCTAAAAAACAACCCATGCTTTTGATGTGCAACGCACAACAGCTTATTCCTCCTGATCGCTCACGGTCAAAACCCTTCCCCGCTCCTGGATGCTCCACTCAGCACAGAGGCGTCTAAGAGCTGCTGCTCCAAGGAGCGCTGATTTGAGTACCCAGGTGGGAAACCACAAGCCTGGAATCAGCTTTTGGCTGCAGATCCTGGCCTGCCAAGCTGCTCTCATTATGGCAGAAGCTCCACGTTATGCTGCCTTTGGCAGCTGCTCTGGTTGAAGAAGTTCCTGTCGCCCAATTTACAGACGCTCATTACAGCCCCATCAGCTGCACCGATTCCAAATTAGATCTGTGAAATCATTATTTTTAAAAAACAAATACTTGCTGGGAGTGGGTGGGGTTGAGAGAAATAGCTTTTTCTCCTTTTACCACCTCATGGATCCAGTTTAAAGGGCAATCACACAGACTGCTTAATAACCTCGGTACGGGGGCAGACACAGTCATTCCGAGTAGGAAGTTCTCAAACTAAATTTGCTGGCAAAGAACCCCAGTGCAGAACTGCAGCTCTAGTGAGAGCCGGTCTGCAGGACAGGGAGTTTGGGTTTCACAGATGCTGTCAGAGCAGATCTGCCGCAGAAGAAAGTGTAACACGCAGCCAGCATCTAACAAGTGCCAGCTCCTCTGTGGCAGACACGCTCTGCTTGCTGGAGGTGGCCTCAGCCTGAAAGACTCAAAGCTGAACCCTTATATGTTCAACACCCAGACCTTGAGAGCTCTCTTTTTGGTTTAGTCCATTTGTTATATTCTGGCCTTTATCTCAAGTGCTAGATCTCCCATCCTGTTTGCTCCGAGCAAGATGTGCGACTCCTTCAGAGCCTTCTTCAACCCACAGACACCCACGGGCGCACACCGTGCCACTTCATCACTCCGGATGTTTCACACCCCACCTGCCTTCCCACCACCACTAGACCTTTCCATTTCCACATTCCCGGTACTGGCAACCGCTGGAGACACAGAAGGAAATTTTTACATTCAGTCAGCACAGCCAGGGAAAGGCACGAATCCTGAATGTGCTCCAAGCACGCCTACGCACCATACCCCTTTCCCCCGGTACCTACAGCTCCTCATTCACGGCGCAGCCCACTCAGCACTTTCACACTCTGAACAGACCGATGGGATTAGTGCCCCAAGTCTTTGTGCCGGCATTCGACAACAGGCTAAACACAAAAAGAACTGGCTGGAACC